GCGGCTTGCCCGAGCCCGAGCTGTGATGCGCAGGTTCGACGAATCCTGAGATCATCGGGTGGAAATGGACGGCGGCGTCTGGGGAGGCGTCTACATCCGCAGTCGGGCAAGACTGAGAGGTACCCGACACGTCTGACGGCGATCTAGCTGGATGATGTTCCCCTCTGAGGACATCGGGCTCCCGGTCCTCGGAAGGCGCATCTGGTATGTCAGCGTCGGGCGGCGGCGGGCAGGTCTCGTCATCAGTCCGAGTCTGAGGCAGGGTCGCTAATACCGCCGGAGCGGACTCGTCCACGACGTCGATTTCTGGTGTGGGAGGTGCTTCTTCGAGCGAAGGCGCAGAATTTGGCAGGGCAGGTGTGAATGGAATATCTTTGTCCGGGGCCGGCAAGCGCTCAAAGGTGAAATCTGCCTCCACTGTGGCGGGCTCGACCTGCATCTTCTCGCCGTCCTCGAGGAGATCGGCTTTTATCTCATCCTCGTCCTCTGGGGGTTCGGGCTCTGCTTCGATCACCTCGATAGTTGTCTCGTCAGGGGCCTCATCCATCCGCTCGCTATCATCGAACAACTGCGTGTGAGGCTCGGCGCTCATGGGAGGTTCAGCGTCCTTGTCTTCGACTTCTTCCACTATGGCCGTATCTGGACTTTCGGGAGAGCAGTCCGACTGGGGCTGCGCTGGCGATGTTCGCTCGACCTCCATCGACGTCTCTGCTGAAGTTTGTGGCTGCGCGTCGAGAGCTGTATGTGCTTCGGCCGCTGTGCCGATTCGATGCGCCGTATCGAGGTCGGCTGGTGACTGAGAGCCAGAAGGCTCAGCAGAGGCCTTCGTCTTTTCCACCCACGCCGCCCAAACCGCCCTCACCCTCCTCTCCACACTCTCCGCCTTGCCCTCCACCTCCCTCACAAGGGCCCTCCGCCGGCCCTTGACCTCCGCCACGCCACGGCTCTCCACGGCATCCAGTGCGGTCAGCAGCCGACTGAGCTCCTCGAGATAGGCGTGCAGCGGCGCGTTGCCCGGCGTGTACGCAAGGTCCGGGCGCGTCGGCTCCGCGGCGTCATCTGCGTCCGGGCGCGTCGGCTCCGCGGCGTCATCTGCGACCGGGCTGGCTTGCGTTGCGCTCGCTAATACCTCCGCGCCCGCGCGGACCGCGATCTGCCCGCCACCGGGCACGACGAAATCAAGCGCGGCGGGGAAGACGAAGTTTGAGCGCAGGCCGGCGAAGCGCGTGCGGAGGCCGGCGATGGTGCGGAGCGCGTTGGCGCGTGCGGCATGCGCGCGGTACGTCTCCTGGATCTTGCGCGCAGCGGCATCCTGCTCCGGCGTGTACTGCTGCACGTGCTGAGGCGCGGGCGAATTGGGCGGGGAATTCGTCCTCTCTTTCGGCGAAGGCGTGCGGATGGCGATGGTGTGCCGCGGGGACGTGCCTGCGTGCGGCGAGACGGGGCTGGGTGGTTGGTGCGCTGGGACAGAAGACGATCTTGTGCCAGCACCGGCAGGGTTCAGATGAGTATGCATGGCGTGCAAGGGGTTGTATGTCGGTTGTCGCCTATTCGACGGTGCGACGGTCTGTGAACGCAACGGTGTCCGCGTAGTGCGAGTGTTCTACGCACGGTCTTAGTCTACTGATCAAGCATACGCAGGGATAATATATTGGCTTACCAAGTCCCCGTCCCCAGGCAGCCAGCCGAAGCCGCGCAGGAAAGGATCATATTGGTGCGCCCGCTGACGATACAGCTCTTCTTCGTCTCGCCGCCTCTGCTCGTCGGCGAAGAGCTGCCGCATCCGCTCTTCCTCCATAGCCCGCCTCTCCTGCGCGAGCCTCCTCCGTTCCTCCTCCAGTCTTAAGCGCTCTTGCTCCCTCTCCAGCTGCTCGCGCCTCCTTTGCTGTTCCGCCATGACTCTCCGCCGGCGGGCGGCGGGCGACATACCGTATCCGTAGCTGCCATACGGAGAGGCGCTGTACGCACCGTCGTAGGAGTCATTGTCCTCGAGTGTGCCGTCGTCGTCGTCAGAGTTGTATGAGTTGTACGGCGCGTAGGCCTGGCGCGCGGCGCGCGCGCGGGCAGCACGCGCGCGGGCCTGTGCGCGACGGGCGGTGAAGTATTGCTCGCGCGCCGCGCGCTCATCAGCGAGGGCCTGCAAGTGGTCTTGATCGTGTGAGTATACAGGCGCAGCGCGCGAATACGCGTATGGATGAGAGTAGTCTCCGTACGGGTTATAACCGAACATGTCGCAGTCGTCGAAGGATGTTATGGGTGGCAGGTAAACAGTAGGCGGATGTGTGTGTCGTGGGTGCACCCTTGAGTAATGTGGACAGGAGTAATATACAGTGAGGGGTGGATATTCGGGGCAATTCGAGGACGAGCCTGGCGGTGGAGACGCTTATAGAAACGTCGGCAGCGCCCATATATGGAGCGCGCGATGTCGAGACAACGTCCCCCGCCCATCATGCGCCGCTAGCCCAGTCGCTAATAGGGCATGTGCTAGAACGTTCCAGCGTTCGCCGCCGCGACGCCGCGACAGGAACTTAGGAAGGACCGCCCGACTGACTTAACATATATAGTACCTCATGTACGCGACCGAGATTTGCAACTGCATAGTCGCTAAAGTCGATCAATGGTCCGAGCATAGTTGGGACGGTGCCGGTGTGTACACACCTTCACGCCATTAATTTACTTTGAGCGGGTATTGCTGTCTATCCTAGTACATCGTCATCGTGAGCATAACCCCGTCGAGGTCTGTAAGAGCCTGTCGGATATAACACTGCATATCGGTCTTCATCATCAAAATAGCACGATGTGCTGAACGCTCTGAGATCAGCTGAAGCGATGTGCACCCCGGATGATGTGGCAATGTAGTACACAGA